CGTCCTTGCTCCCCTAGTAGCGTCCTTGCTCCTAGTAGTAAGGCCAGCTGGGGCTCCTAGTAGCGTCCTTGCTCCTAGTAGTAAGGCCAGGAGCCTCTAGTGGGGCTCCTAGCAGCGTCCTTACTCCCAGTAGTAAGGCCAGGAGCCCCTAGTAGCGTCCTTGCTCCTAGTAGTAAGGCCAGGAGCCCCTAGTGGGGCTCCTAGTAGCGTCCTTGCTCCTAGTAGTAAGGCCAGGAGCCCTAGTAGCGTCCTTGCTCCTAGTAGTAAGGCCAGGAGCCGCTAGTAAGCTTCTTTGCTCCTAGTAACTAAGGGCCAGGAGCCCCTAGTAGCGTCCTTGCTCCCAGTGGTAAGACCAGGAGCCCCTAGTAGCGTCCTTGCTCCTAGTAGTAAGGCCAGGAGCCCTAGTGGGGCTCCTAGCAGCGTCCTTGCTCCTAGCAAGGCCAGGAGCCGCTAGTAGCGTCCTTGCTCCTAGTAGTAAGGCCAGGAGCCCCTAGTGGGGCTCCTAGTAGCGTCCTTGCTCCTAGTAGCAAGGCAAGGAGCCCCTAGTAGCGTCCTTGCTCCTAGTGGTAAGGCCAGGAGCCACTAGTAGCTTCTTTGCTCCTAGGGCCAGGAGCCCCCAGTAGCGTCCTGGCTCCCAGTGGTAAGCGTCCTTGCTCCTAGTAGTAAGGCCAGGAGGCCGTAGTAGCGTCCTTGCTCCTAGTAGTAAGGCCAGGAGCCCCCAGTAGCGTCCTTGCTCGTAGCAGTAAGGCCAGGAGCCTCTAGTAGCTTCTTTGCTCCTAGTAGTAAGGTCAGGAGCCCCTAGTAGCGTCCTTGCTCCTAGTGGTAAGGCCAGGAGCCCCTAGTAGCGTCTTGCTCCTAGTCGTAAGGCCAGGAGCCCCTAGTGGGGCTCCTAGTAGCGTCCTTGCTCCTAGTAGTAGGGCCAGGAGAGGCCAGGAGCCCCTAGTAAGGCTCCTAGTAGCGTCCTTGCTCCTGGTAGTAAGGCCAGGAGCCCCCTAGTAGCGTCCTTGCTCCTAGTAGTAAGGCCAGGAGCCACTAGTAGCTTCTTTGCTCCTACTAAGGCCCTTTTGCGTCCTTGCTCCTAGTGGTAAGGCCAGGAGCCCCTAGTAGCGCCCTTGCTCCTCGTAGTAAGGCCAGGAGCCCCTCTAGGCCCATTGCTCCTAGTAGCTTCTTTGCTCCTAGTAAGGGCCAGGAGGCCAGGAGCCCACTAGTGGGGCTCCAGTAGCGTCCTTGCTCCTAGTAGTAAGGCCAGGAGCCCCTAGTGGGGCTCCTAGCAGCGTCCTTGCTCCTAGTAGTGAGGCCAGGAGCCTCTAGTGGGGCTCCTAGTAGCGTCCTTGCTCCTAGTGGTAGTAGCGTCCTTGCTCCTAGTAGTAAGGCCAGGAGCCACTAGTAGCTTCTTTGCTCCTAGTAAGGGCCAGGAGCCCCTAGTAGCGTCCTTGCTCCTAGTGGTAAGGCCAGGAGCCCCTAGTGTAGCGCCCTTGCTCTTAGTAGTAAGGCCAGGAGCCCCTAGTGGGGCTCCTGGTAAGGAGCCCCTACTAGCGTCCTTGCTTCTAGTGGTAAGGCCTAGTAGCGTCCTTGCTCCTAGTAGTAAGGCCAGCTGGGGCTCCTAGTAGTGTCCTTGCTCCTAGTAGTAAGGCCAGGAGCCCTAGTAGCGTCCTTGCTCCTAGTAGTAAGGCCAGGAGCCACTAGTAGCTTCTTTGCTCCTAGTAAGGGCCAGGAGCCCCTAGTAGCGTCCTTGCTCCCAGTGGTAAGACCAGGAGCCCCTAGTAGCGTCCTTGCTCCTAGTAGTAAGGCCAGGCGCCCCTAGTGGGGCTCCTAGTAGCGTCCTTGCTCCTAAGGCCAGCAGCCCCTAGTAGCGTCCTTGCTCCTAGTAGTAAGGCCAGGAGCCACTAGCTTCTTTGCTCCTAGTAAGGACCAGGAGCCCCTAGTAGCGTCCTTGCTTCCAGCAGTAAGGCCAGGAGCCCCTAGTAGCGTCCTTGGTTGTAGTAGTATGGCCAGGAGCCCCTAGTGGGGCTCCTAGTAGCGTCCTTGCTCCTAGTAGTAAGGCCAGGAGCCCCTAGTAGCGTCCTTCCTCCTAGTAGTAAGGCCAGGCGCCACTAGTAGCTTTTTTGCTCCTAGTAAGGGGCAGGAGCCCCTAGTAGCGTCCTTGCTCCTAGTGGTAAGGCCAGGAGCCCCCAGTAGCGTCCTATCCTCCTAGTAGTAAGGCCAGGAGCCCCTAGTGGGGCTCCTAGTAGTAGGGCCAGGAGCCTCTAGTAGCGTCCTTGCCCTAGTAGTAAGGCCAGGAGCCCCTAGTAGCGTCCTTGCTCCTAGTAGTAAGGCCAGGAGCCCCTAGTAGCGTCCTTGCTCGTAGTAGTAAGGCCAGGAGCCTCTAGTAGCTTCTTTGCTCCTGGTAGTAAGGTCAGGAGCCGCTTCTTTGCTCCAAGTAGTAAGGCCAGGAGCTTCTAGTAGCGTCCTTGCGTAAGGCCACGACCCACTACTAGCTTCTTTGCTCCTAGTAGTAAGGCCAGGAGCCCCTAGTAGCGTCCTTGCTCCTAGTAGTAAGGCCAGGAGCC